ATGTTGAAAAATAGAAGTTAATATGTAACTTTGTTAACTGAAACTTAAACCTACCCAGTCCCTTGGTTCAGATGGTGCATCAACTATTATCCTCAATAGATGTGCTGACATTTCATGTTACCCTCTAACTTGTATTTGCAATAAATCGTTTTCCACGAACATTGTGTCTACTTCTTGGAAGGACATTAAAATTGTTCCTGTGCCTGAGTCATCAAGTTGAACAAGTGTTAATTTTAGACTTTTTGCCATTGTAACACCTTTTTTCAAAATAATGGAAAGACTGTTTTCATTTAGGCTTGAACCTTCATTGAAGGCTTCTAACGACCTTAATCAATATGCTTATAAACATAATAGTCGTCCTTTAGGTGCCACTGTCGTCTTATATCATAATATTGCCTCTAGCTTAGACAGAGGTGCCAAGTATATTCGGTGTACCTTTTTCGACTACACATCTGCCTTCGACTCTGTACCTAGGCCTCTTTTGTTAAACAGGCTTACTAAGACACAAGCAGAGTGCTGGACTAATAAGTGGCTGCATACTTATTTTTCTGATAGAAAGCAGTACACTATTTGTAAAGGGAAGTGCTTCACTGCTTCACTTATTCTAGCTGATGTTCGTCAAGGTGCCATTCTTTCTCTTTTTCTGTTTCATTTCGTCTTACATAACTTGCCTCACTATGATGAAGTAAATTTTGTTAAGTATACCGATGATATGACTGTCTTCATACCGATTACCTCTCAGTCAGACTCTTCCAAAATGAATAACTTATCATCAGAAATTAGTCACTGGTCCTTGTCAAATGGTCTTAAGCTCAATCTCTACAAATGTCAGATGGTTAATTTCACTTTCAGATGCAGGTGAAATGATTATTTCGCACGGTTCCACTATCATAGATGCCACTGAAGTTGAAACCAAATCGAATGTTAAATACCGTTAACTGTGTATTTCCTCTGATCACTTTTCCTGGTCTTCCTACATCATATTAGTTTGCAGAAGGATATTTCCTTTGACGTACTGTGTGAGGAAGTTAAGACGATCTGACATCATTCCATCTCTACTATTACCGTTTGTTAATTCTTGTATTCTGCCTATGCTTCATTACTGTTCCCCCTTAATTTCTACTGGGCTACTTAAGAAAGACTTTGTTATACTGTTTAGGGCAATAAAAGCGTGTCAGTAGGGTGAATGAGGTGTTGCTAAAATAATTCTTTAATACTCTCGCCGATCATGCACATGGTCCGGGGTTCGAGCCCACGCCGGCGCACATCTGATATCTATGGTCGGCCTGCAAAATTTGGGCTACCGATATCCATGCTGAAAATTCCATACTTGTATCAAAAATACAGTGTGGAATCAAGCTGTAATCAATAAAAAAACAAATAAATAAAAAATTAAGGAAATCTAACTAAACGGCCACATTTTTTTTCTTGTTATTTTGTTGTTAATATTTTCAATGAATTTAATTTTTGTTTCTTATTAATGTAAATGCCCTATTTTAATTATGGTGCCTACAATGAGAAAATTAGATGTAATACTGTACTATATGCTGAAAATTCCATATTTCTACTAAAAGTACTGCTTGGAATAAAGCTATTATTATTATTATTGGTAGTATGAGAATAATCCCTTGATTTATCTTAATAACCTGTCTATCCGTCATGGATTATCAGCCGATAAATTGAACACATCTTATTTTGGGAAGTGTATTATATTCTGTTAGATCGAATATTCGGTAGTGCACGTTTTTCTCGGAAAACTTGGTGGCGTCTTCAAGACTTCTAACATTAAGCGGTGAAATGCTGATATTACCAAGTTCAGTGATTAGTCTACGATCGAATACCAAAGTACAGAGAACATCAACACAATTTACATCCTCATTCTGGGCTAAAAATCTGATTTATTGTTTTAAAGAGATTTTTTTTGGTTTCATCAGGTATGTTAGTGAGCCATGTAATCGTTTTGTTGTGTATCTTATTGTCAGTTTGAAACCTATATATCCATCTAAACCCGTAGAACATACAAAAAATGATGTCACATCTCACTGTATCTACCAATTTAAATGTACGTGTGGCCACACATACGTAGAGAGAGCTCATCAATCTTTGCAAGAAAGCACTTCAGAGCATATCCCTAAGTGGCTTTAGAGACTAATGGAACCTCTGAACCCATTAATGGTGAGAATAGACGACTTTGCTCGTCTGCTGTGGAACGTATTGACTGACTGACTGTTTTCAACGTAGAACTTTGCACAGATATGCAGCAGTTTGAGTTGCCACACCCTATGTAGTACACAAAGCAAGAGAAGAGAGTGAAGAAAGATTCGAAAGAGAGTTAATAAACAGAAATATGAGGCAAAAAGAATAGCAATACGGAAAAAACATATTGTAGGGGTGGGACATAAAACTGCACTTCTTTTAAACTTATCTCATAAAACGTGTTTCGTGCGTATCGTAAAGTTGGTATAAGCTCTAGAAATTAGGATGTTTAAACCACCTCTCTATGTTCACCAAAAACATTTCGTCATCAATTTTGTGTTGATACCAAGGTAGATGTACTCTTGTATATATATGTAACAACAGAAGACAAGGGCCAGGCAACAGATCGTTTTATTACGGAAATCAACACGTATTTATATAAATTTTACATGTATTATTATAGCCTAGTCAAGTAGACAAACGCAGTCTTCTGATTGTTTGTTTTCGAGTTCCTCAGAAAGTGGAGCCATCTATCTGCGAATCATATTTGCCCATGTTTAAGTTTGCTGTGATTGGTTGTGGAAACAGCCTTGTTCATATTTTCTCACGGCCCATATTAGTGACCTAGACATTGACGTAGATTAATGTCAACCAATTGGCTAACAGGCTGCTCTCACCATATATATAGTTTGTATTCTTTAACCAATCACTTAACGTGTGATTTTGGTTTACATTAAACGACATGAAATAGAATGTTCAAATACATACAACAGTATTCTGTCGCTAATACCTTATTGAACTGTGCGAATATGGGAGAATAATATTCCGTTGGAACACATTGTCCGTATCACACCACTACACGATTACCTCCCTTCTCTGGTTTATTGATCCCCATTATTATTATTATTTTAACCTTCAGTATAACCTTTTAATCTAACTCATATCTATTCTCTCACCCCCTAATGCTCTATTACTTTCATATATATTCTTATGACAAGTACGTGTGTGATGAGATTATTCGAAATGTGTTGCACAAATACACTTCACTATTCAGATAAATTACGTCTTCTCTTTACTTTGTCGAAATTCATGTAGGGAACTAACTGTTTCAAGTTAAATAAATGTTTAATTTTATTTTTTTTTAAATAAGTTTCTTGAGGATAAATCTTCATCATTGTTTAGTTTACCCATTTATTGGCTAGTATAATTCCTTAGATTTTTTAAATATAACGTCATCCTGTATGAGAATATTCATATGTAAAACATTCCATTTCATTGTCACTTTAGATGGCTAGAGCTGATTTTAATTCTGGCAATAAGCGAAGACATCCGCTACTTCCAGTCTCTTAAATCAAATGAAGAGACTACTAATTCTTCTTATTATTATTATTCGCATAGACAATTTACAGTTGAATTCAAATGGCTAGTTTCATCTTTATTGATTTTCAATCATACTTAAAGACATATATATATATATATATATATATATATATATAATTGATAAAGTGAATTTTTGAACTGAAAAGTATTCATTCTAAGGTTATAAATGATGCACCTATTGATAATATATGCTGGTTATCATTTGCCACATAGGATCAAAAGATTTCAATGCTATAACTCTGCCATTGATTACACTAGTATAGGGTAGAATTATATCCAAATACTTCAACCGTCGACGCCAGTGACTGTTCTTCACATTTTTCATTTCATATGGTAGATATCAACATTTTTAGCGTATGATTCCATTGTATTTCAAAAACTGATTGACGGGTATTTTTGAGAGAGAAAAAGGAGTCGACATGCATACATATTTTCGAAGTTATTTGCGAGATTTATTTCAACTGACAGAAATGATTTCTTTATGATTACAATACGATTTTTCAACAGTATGTAAGGCTGATAAATAACATCACAGTGGATAGTGGTTAAATATGTTGATCGGATAATGAGCTTTTCTCATCTTTTAGGTTTCAAAAAAGCCTTTGGTGCCAACCACGAACACAGAGTTATCGATTTCTTTACGAAAAAAAATATTAACGATAGAATAGGTTAAGAATCGAAGATGTACCAATAGTATGGTGTGTTTTAAGCATACCTCAGTTCTTATTGTCGTTGATATAGAGTGTACGCATCTTTGTTCAACATTCTCCAGATGTATTCTCTATCTTTACTGTTGATTTGGTTGTTGTTGCTTTTATGTGTTGTTGTGCAATAGATATAGAAATTGATATATCTGCATACCGTTTCAGTGTACTATAGTTCGCTTTAAAAATGTGGCATTATCAGTCAAAAAGACTAGAGTAAGAAATATATAAGATATATCATCAGTTCTTATTCGAAAAGTAGACTCGTAAAGAAAAAGAAGGCTGTAGGAATGAAAATTCTAGACGTTGCTATTTTAAAATTAGATTATATTAAGACATAATTAAATCTTCAGTACACTACAGTTGGTATCTGGGTAATTAGCGCATGATTTCAATATTCAGTCTGTTTCAATTGAATGTAACATTATAAGGATTATGTCTTCTGGCCTAAATCATTTGTGACTCTGAACTTTATATTTTATAGGTTGAAGATCTCACTCTGTTATCGTAGTAGTTTTTAATTACCAGTAAGTGACCGGTGAACCAGTGGCTGTTATTTATTTTTACTGTTTATTGTTTTAATTTGTTTGAAAATGCTTTGATTAATTATCCTGCGCGTTTACTTCTACCCCCTTACTTATTTCATCTTCAGATACTTTTGACTATAATCTAAACCAATATCTTCTGTTTTTGTTTCTCAATTCCTTCTTAACCTTAAAGACTTGTGGTTTACAAATCAGTAATCAATTCAGCATTAAAAATCGTGTCATCGCTTCACCGCCATTGTCAATAGCGGCAGCACCAGGATTGATATTAGCTCATGGACATGTGGCTACACACCTAAAAAATACACCCGCTGATGTATTCGTCAGTTCAGATGGTGGTTACACATGGCTTAAAGTAAGTGTGTTATAAACATTTGTGTAAGATAATTAAATTTAATTCATAAAAAATCCCCATTCGAAAATTGATAGAGACACCAGTAGTTCAGCGAAGAGTCTCTTTTCGGTGAGTTCATTTTCTCAGTTGTACAATCGCAAATATATATGGTTATTTTGTATATGTGTGTACATTAACTTTGCCAAACGAAAAACACGATGCGTATCCCGTCAAAAAGGGTCAAAGAACACTATCTTGTGCTGCTGCAGAAAGGAAGTACTGGTCGTATAAGGAGAGCAATAATCGAACATCTCGTCACCACTGCTCATTTCATCTCAACAAACGCCTCCTTCAAAGTAATCTACAAAGTGAAGAACAACCTGCTAAAGACAATACGTTTCTGTCTTCTTTGCATCGTAGAAGCCCTAGCCGTTCAGTTAGAAGAACCAGAACTATGCATACAAAAGAAAATTATTCAGACACTTCTAATATCATGGTAACAACTCTGTTGTTCTGACTTCTGCTTGTTTGCTTATTTTTCTTAGTACTTAAAACTCTTACGTAATTCCATATTTTATTTCGTTTCCATGTACAGCCTGAGCACAACTTTTTCATCAAACCATTCACATCATTACATAATTCTTCTTTAACAATCGTTTGTGACAACTCATCACTTTTGTTTCCACCCTCCTACATCAACATCCAATTCCTGTGAACGCTTTTTGTATGACTTAACTCCACCAAAAACTTACTAATTGTATTTTCGCTTGACAAAGTTAATGTACACACATATACAAAATGACCATATATATTTGCGACTGTACAGCTGTGGAAATGAATTCGCCAGAAAGAGACTCTTTGCTGAACCTCTTTGCACCAAAAGAAAAAGTCTGTGTGTGGACATGGAACGTCCGAACTATGTACGAGATTGGGAAAGCTAAACTACTGGGCTTATCTTAATTAAATTTAAGATGGTTAATAAGACTAGGGAGTTCGACAGGAACGTTTTTGTAACTTGGGATTTCCTAGTGGTTCATATTCACCCCTTGATACGAAATGAAAACAAGGAACACCTCATCTTTTAGCTTAACATATCTCTGTTTAACTACTGAGTACAACCGTTTTTGTCTGTTGATAAGGTGACTCAAAGTAAAACCATACATTTTCTTCTGCACATTTGTTGGGTGATAAGTTCTTAGGTGGCTCGCTACCTACCAGACTTTATTCTTGTTTGTGTATATGTATTTATTTGTTCTTATGTGAGCAGTATGACTAATTCCTACGATGCATATGTAAGTGTCACACATTCTCGAGACAGACTAGATTAAAGTCACCAGTTTGTGTACATTGTCAGACAGCATGTTAACTTAAGCTATCTGAATAACTGAGAGGTATACAAATATTTGTTTACAGTTTGTATCTGTAATCTCGTAACGTCCAATACGAATAGCTTATGGTAAATCCTTTTTAACCCTGTACTGTATAATGTACAGAACTAATTATCAAAAATAGTTATTGCATACTTATGTAGCAAGGTGAGATCTAGTGGAAGACTTGTTTGGTTAGGGTTACTAATTATCGACACCATTTTAGCATCGTTTCATCTACTGTGCGCGTCGGTGGCACAGTGGTTAGGACTCTCGCCGACCATGCACATGGTCCGGGGTTCGATCCCCTGCCGACGCACACCCGATATCTATGGTCGGCCTGCAAAATTTGGGCTACCGATATCATATGCTGAAAATACCATACCTGTACCAAAAAATACGGTGTGGAATCAAGCTGTAATAAAATAAAATAGGCTGGATATACTGATTGTTTTTAACTCCACTCCTTTAACCAGAATACTGATACCCTATAGTGTTGTCATTTTACTGGATAACTATTGCCTGTTTCATCTTCGTTTTTTTTTTTTTGTTCTTTGAGCATTTTCCTTTATTTCACAACGCTTACTTGGTTGACTAGTATCTATACATTCGGGTCTACTGTTAGCCTGTTACTGATTAAGTTTTTAAATTGTTAATTTCTTTTCATGAACTCGGAATTTTCTCCCTCTTTACTCTTAGGCTCTTGATGGACCGCATCATTATCAAATAGCTAATCGGGGAGGCCTAATTGTAGCTGTTCCTGCTGAAACTTTATGGCCTGATGTACTACGTTTTAGTACTGATGAGGGAAGATGTTGGCATACTATCCCACTGCGCACTGGTCAATGGGGTATCAGTGAATCAAGCAGATATCACATCAATAGTGATAATGATGACAGTATTAAGGGAAAAATTCAAAATCATAATGATGACAGTGTTGACGATGATGACGATACAGGAGATAAAATAAAAGTAGCTAACGTGGAAGTAACAGATCTTCCATCTTCAGAAGCTCATCAGATTCTTCTTGACAACAACACTACATCTAGTAAGATGGAATTTCTTACTAAAACCACCAGTTCTAATGATCCTGCTTATTCTATTCCTACCACTATTAATAACAACAAAAACATTACTACTCCTTCAAGTACTAAACCAGTAACAAATCGTAATCAATTATACGAAAATCATAATCAGCAAAATGATGATGACGATAAATGGTCTACATCAACACAAAAAACTGACGAAATTGTTGTGTTCACTGGATTAGTTACTGAACCTGGTGGTAGAGCCATGGCTGCTGCTGTTTATGGTTACGGTACAGCAACACAGAGGTGGAGAGTCGCTGTTGTTGATTTTCGGTCGAATGGAATGATTACACGCAAATGTGAGTCTTTGTCGTTTTCACTCTATATTTCTACTTGTAGGCAAGTTTCAAGATATATTTACTTGAATGTCCTGTAAGACATCATGTATATATATATATATATATATATATATATATATATATATATATATATATATATATATATACTTGAAAATTCCATATGTTGGGTGTAAATTCGATATTTGATAGCTAGTCAGTCTTCGGAGAATTTGTTTTCTTGTGCTGTGATTGTTGCTTCTCTCTTTTGACTCTCATACACTGTGAAAAGAATCGAAACCTATTGTAACCAACTGGGCTTAGACAATCCGTAGTATTACAAACCATCTTATATTAGCTGTAGATTAATGGTAAAATATACCAGGTTGTAATCAAAACATAAATTCTCCAAGACGTGATGTACAAAGTCCTTCAAGATGTCGAAAAAGATGAGTACGGATTAATTAAGTTAGTTTAAACTATGAAAATAATACTGAAGGTAGCGCCTAAAGTAAGAACAATTATTGTTTTCGAGAAAACCAAGCTTGTAGAGTAAGGAAGTTCAACTTATAATACTTTCCTGAAAGTAACGCTTAATTCTCATCGTACAAATGCATTAGTAACTTGCCAATCTATTCAAACATACTTGGGTTTCAAAACTAACTTATTTTCCCACCAAACTGGTCATATTTGGTTTTTTGTTGATTTTTTACACGTTCATTAACTTTGCTGCCATTGCAGTGTGTAGCATCATTCAACTATGACAAGCATATTTGTTGTAAGTGTTTAGTTCAAAACTTTGTGTCATCAGACAACAGTGATTTTAATATTTTTTCAGTGGCGAATCCTAAAACATTAACAGAAAGCAACTTATGAAACTGACGAGCATGTTTTATTCCACATGTGTCTATAATGTATCATTAGTCTCCTACAATACCCAGTGAATCATATTTAGAATGCGCGAACAATCATGTTCAGACGATTTTCACTTTTTTTCCTGCAGAATCGCTCCCAGTGTTAATTATTTTAGTTTAGCTCAAAAGCCTGATACAATGTAACGAGGCAAAGCTTGAATTTGAAACCAAAGCTTTGATCACAGTAGGATTCAGACCCATAGCTCCGCATTATTCACACAAGGAACTATTCTTTAATTAACCTAAACGGCATTTATCAGTTGACCTTTAAAGCTCAAAATTTACTAGTTTCTATAGTAATAAGCTTAACAATACTTTGGTTATTTCTGAGTACTACTGGCATCATCTATATATAGCCTAGCTGTTTCTCATCATTCTTAGTGATGATACTGTGGTGTGATGCAGATTGATAGGAAGAGGTCAAAGCTGAAATCAACATTTTCAGTCGATGGCTGCGGAACTAGGTTCTGGACATGGAACGATCGCATTGGAACTCTTCATTTAACTTGGACCAACTGTCAATTAATTAGAACAATTTATTATCCTCTGAACAAGCCGAACTTTAGTATGCCTAGGAATGTATAAATTTGATTTGTTTACCTTAAAAAGGTCCGCTACCGATTCTCTTATCTTCCGCTGTTATAATGCTATTTAATGTCTTTGCTGTTGTTATGGTATCTTCACTATATCAATGATTATTGATTGACTGATCAACATTTTGTTCCACCTCATCTTACAGACCATTATGGAGATATTTCAATTCGGTGTGGCATTACATGCTTATATTTTTTCCCTCAAGAAACATCAAATGAATAACACCATAATATTGGGTTATGTTGATTTGTGATGCCATCTACTTTAGTTGTGACCAAGGAAGGGATAGATTGGCATTTTTATACGTAGGAGACACCTGATGTATGAATGCTACTGTGCGCTTATTACCATAATAAATAAATACATAGTAGGATTACTAACTAGTCGTTTGATACCTTTTCTGTGTTGGTCTTTTTACTCTCCTCTGACATGTGATGAATCTGCGTTGATCTAGTTTTTTTTCCTTTTTTGTGTTTTCTTTTATTCGTGTAAACAAAACACAGTTCAGTGAAGAGTCTCTTTTCGGCGAATTCATTTTCTTAGCTGTACAATCACAAATACATATGGGTTATTTGTGTGTATGTGTACATTAAGTTTGTCAAAGTAAAATACAATTAGGTATGGTTATTTTAACTAAACAGATAAAAATTAGTAAGTTTTGGGTAGAGTTACGTAATACAAAAACGGTGAAGAAAATTGTGTGCTAGTGAAACTAGTGTAGTAACAAAGGTGATGAGTTGTCACAAACAGTTGTTAAAAAAGAGCTACGTAATGATATGAATAGTTTGACGATTGAGTTGTACTCAGGATGCATACAGGAACAAAGTAGAGAATACGACATTACATAAGAGTTCTAAATGAATACAAGAACTATAGGCAGTTAAAGAAACAGGCAAACAAACAAAATTAAGTCATCAAAAAACAACAAAGTTTTTACTGTGATAATAGAAGTGGTTGAGTAATTCTCTTTTGCACGCACAGCTCCGGTTTTTCTATGTGAACGACCAGAGCTTCAGTGATACAAAGAGGACGAAACCGTATTGCCTTCGGCAGGCTATTCTTGACTGTAGAGACTTCTTTGAAGAAGGAGTTTGTTCAGATGGAATGGTTAGTGTTAACAAGATGTTCGATTATCGCACTCCTCATAGCACCACTATCGCCTTTTGGCAACCATGCGGGATAATTTTCTTGAATCCTCTTGGACAGGATGCGCGTCGAACGACCGATGTACGTGACTCCACAGCAGCAGGTGAACTAATTTTATTTGATTTATGGTTCACCATCTTGTCGGAAAGATATGGTTTACTATTATTATTATTATTATTACTCTTACTACTACTACTAACAATAATAATAATAATAATGATAATAATAATAAAGTTATGTTCACAACAGTAATCGCTACATTTATTAGTTGTAACCGAAATGCAGAAGTTTGTCTGAATTCATCAACTACGCAATTGTTAGTTGTGTTAATTCCAAGTTATTTTTCATTGAATTCAACTTCATCTACCAAACGTTTTGCTTATCTAATTACGTAAAATGCATGTTTCTGTCATAAAAATCCAAATCTTGTATGATAACACTAAGTAGATGACTCGCCTAAATGCAGGCATAAATTGTAGTAATTATGTTCCCTTATACGGCCGTATAACACATGTGCGTTCTGTTAGTAAATTTTATACCTCCTGTTATATTGATTCTTTTCTACTTCATTTCTCAATAGCTGGTTCAATTTTCTAAATTTCAATACAGCCATGAGGAAACAGCAACAATTTTTTGTAATTGTTGTGTAATAGAATTGACTGATACAACATAAAGGTTGCACATGATTTAAAAAAAAATAGTCACATCATCGAACAAACTAAATTGCCATCGGGTATCATGGCTACTTCAGTGTGCATAGCAGGCATGAATAGATTGACGTGAATAGTTGCTAGCTGCTTATAACAAAAAACAGTATGTGTTGTAGTACACATTGTGAATGCTTTCGTGGCATCGGTTACAGTGTCAAGTGGCTCACATGTTGTTATATAAATATTTCGAGTTACCAGCTGAATCTCTCTTGAATTGATTTCATGAATCTTACTTAAGATATCAATGACAATCATTTCTCTATAAAAAAGACATGATTTCTATAACCAGTTATTCTTAATGATAAGAAGTGTAGATGAGACGCCTTACTGTTGGTTGTAAAATCTGACCTGAAAACCGACTAGTAACTGAATGTTTTGAAACTTTGAGGTAAAGCCTTTCTACCTGAAGAACAAGTAATTATGTATGAAATGTCTGGACCATTTCACCACTGGGATTAGTTTATTCAATAAATGATATTACTTACTGCTAAATCATCCACGAATTAACCAGCACTTTAATTATTGTGATACTGATAGAGAAGTGCGATAAATACGACTTTTCGTAAAGGCCTACATATTTAGGTTTTAATAAGAATTGATAAAATATGCCCATTCGAAATTTGAAAACATTGATTATTGAACAAAGAATGGTCTTTTCGATAACTTCATCATCAGGTTCTACAGTTATATATCCATATTAATGACAGAATGACTGTTATTGACAACATTAATGGTTTTTTCAGAAGAGTGACATCGAATCATTTAGATCAGAATTCCGAAAGCTATTTGCAACTAGGTTGTTAACAGATTATAGTCCAAAATATATGAGTATGTCGTAATATGTATAATTGTAATACTAAATTGAACAACAATATTACAGATTAAATGATTATGAATGACAATGAATGTATAATCATAAATTCTTATCAGTCATGTTCATATTAATTTCTTCTATTGTTATTGATTATAAACTTCAGATGGATGAGTGACCATGTCAAGGACAGGGGTAGAGAAAAAGGGTGTTTTGGGGGGATGAATTTTATGAATTCTTAAATGCCTAATTACATCGGCCTTTTTTGATATGGCCCCTCCATCCTGTACATATAAATTCCCCTACCCTTTATCATTACACTTGCATTAACTAACCTTTTGTTTTCTTATTTAAACGTAGTAGTTAACTTTCACACTGACACACATACAACGCGCATAAAATTCATCCCCCCAAAACACCCTTTTTCTCTACCCCTGTCCTTGACATGATCACTCATCCATCTGAAGTTTATAATCAATAACAATAGAAGAACTTAATATGAACATGACTGATAAGAATTTATGATTATACATTCATTGTCATTCATAATCATTTAATCTGTAATATTGTTGTTCAATTTAGTATTACAATTATACATATTACGACATACTCATATATTTTGGACTATAATCTGTTAACAACCTAGTTGCAAATAGCTTTCGGAATTCTGATCTAAATGATTCGATGTCACTCTTCTGAAAAAACCACTAATGTTGTCAATAACAGTCATTCTGTCATTAATATGGATATATAACTGTAGAACCTGATGATGAAGTTATCGAAAAGACCATTCTTTGTTCAATAATCAATCGTTTAATATGAAGACATTTTTAAATTTTCATTATTTCC